GCTTTGGAGGGGCGCTGGGGGGCCAACTCCAAGCGCGCCACAATGCTGTGAAGACCCCTGCGAGCCCGCGCCAAAGGTAATTCCGGCGAGGGGTCACTCCTACGCCTGACCGAGTGAGGAGGTGAGATGGTTCGGCAGCCTTCGGTGGCAACTCGTGGGTGCCGCCTCCCATACCGTCTTGCTGGTAGGCCGCAGTAGACGCTCATCGACAGGACAGTAGCCGAGGGTGATCGACGCTAAATCGACGCTGATCGACACTATCCGCCGCCAATCGGAGCTACATCGGCGCTATCTAACGACTACCAGACGCTACTTGACGCAAATCGACGCTAAAGACAGAATTGCACACGGCTCCCATGATTTTCGGGAGCGGCCAAGAGGGGGGTTTCCAAGAGGGGGGGTGCAAATCATGACTGGCGGACTGTGCGCGGCCCCGGGGGGGGGGGGGGCCAGGGACGTAATAAAACAAGAAGAGCCGCCATGAAATCTGGGGAAATATCATGGCCCACGCCATGATGTCTACCCCCCCTAGTCATCACCCCCCTCTTTGCCGCCCCGGAGATTTGCCACCGAAGCAGCCCTCGTGGCCGGCGCTCGAATGTGAGCCTCTCCGAAGCCCACGCCCGGTCGCCTCACCCCGGGCCGTGGTCGCTGCCAGCGAAGGCAGCGGGCGGCGGCGGAGGGCACGCACACACACACACACACCCACACACACACTACACACACTACACACACTACACACAACACACAACACACAGCACACACATACACACATACACGTTTTGGCGTCGCGGCCTCCCGCCACGTGCAGCGTCGAGGCGCAGAAGGTCGGCAAGCGATAGCGAAAGCGGGCGCGGCCGGGAACACACACTCACCCACAGACAGACAGACAGACGTGTGACACAGACACAGACACAGACACACACAAACACACACGCACACACAAACACACACACACACAAACAAACACACGCACACACAAACAAAATAACAAACAAGCATACACACACGCATACACACACGCGCACACACACAAACACACACACACAGACACAACACACACACACACACACACGCACACGCACACGCACACGCGCACGCGCACGCGCACGCACAAACGCACACACACAACACACACACACACACTCGTTTCGCGTCGCGGTCACGCGCGCAGCGGCGCGGCGAAGTGCCGATCGAGCGAGAGCGAGCCGCGCGTAAGAAGGGGTGGCGGGAGACGGGGATAACGTGGAGACAGAAACCAGAGCGGTGCGCAGTCCAGGCGACCAAGATGCGGCGCAGCGACGACCGGAAACAGCGGGGTGTGCATACACGCCTGTGCACACACACTCAACCCGCCGTTTCGGCCCGCCGTGGTCGTCAGCGTCGTCGTCTTCGTCGTCATCGTCGTCGTCGCGGTCCGTCGTCGACCCGCGTCGTCATCGTCGTCGTTGTTCGTCGTCGTCATCGTCGTCGTCATCGTCGTCGTCGACAGTCGTCGTCCGTCGTCGTCGTCGTCGTCATCGTCGTCGTCGTCGTGGTCATCCGTCGTCGTCGTCACCCGTCGTCGTCCGTCGTCCGTCGTCGTCCATCGTCGTCCGTCGTCATCCATCGTCGTCGTCTTCGTTCGTTTGTTCGGTTCGTTCGTTCGTAGTCGTCGTCGTCGTCCGTCGTCGTCCGTAGCTGTCGTCGTCCGCCGACGTCGTCCATCGTCGTCGTCCGTCGTCGTCTTCGCTCGTTCGTTCGTTCGTTCCGACGTTCGTTCGTTCGTTCGTCGTCGTCGACGTCGTCAACGTCGTCGACGTCATCGTCGTCGTCGTGGTCGTCGCCGTCGTCCCTAGTCGTCGTCGCCGTCGTCGTCGTCGTCCATCGTAGTCCGTCGTCGTCCGTCGTCATCCATCGTCGTCGTCTTAGTTCGTTTGTTCGGTTCGTTCGTTCGTAGTCGTCGTCGTCCGTCACCGTCTGTAATTAGTTGTCGTTGTCCGCCGTCGTCGTCCGTCGTCGTCGTCCGAAGTCCTCTCCGTCGTCGTCTTCGCTCGTTCGTTCGTTCGTTCGGACGTCCGTTCGTTCGTTCGTCGTTGTCGTCGTCGTCAACGTCGTCGCCGTCATCGTCATCGTCGTGGTTGTCACCGTCGTCCGTCGTCCCTAGTCGTCGTCGCCGTCGTCGCCGTCGTCCGTCGTCGTCGTCGTCGTCGTCATCGTCGTCGGCGGCGGCGTCGTCGGCGTCGTCGTCGTCATCGTCGTCGTCGTCGTCGACCGTCGTCGTCAACCGTCGTCGTTGTCCGTCGTCGTCGTCGTCATCGTCGTCGTCTGTCGTCGTCGTCGTCCGTCGTCGTCGTCGTCGTCGTCGTCGTTGTCGTCGTCGCTGTCGGGCCGGGGACGCGTCGGGGACACTGCTGGCGAAACGAGCCAGCCGCGCGCTGAGGGTGCAAGCGCCGGGGCCCAATGGGGCACTTCCAGGTCGGGCAGAGGGCGGGCGAAGGAGACGGCCGGTGGCGGACGGCATACGCTCGTGGGGTAGCGGAGAGGGCATCCATGACATGAGAGGCCGCCGTGAGGAACCCATCAGCGCGCTACCGTTAAAGAGTCACCAGGCCTTTGGACACACACACACACACACACACATACATACACACACACACCCACACACACACGAAGAAGCAACACGCCGACGGGCTTCTCACGACGGCGTGTCGCTCATGCTCTAGAAGAAGAAAATTGCATAAACGGAAACTGTTGGCGTTCCACGCGGATTTCTTCCGGGGCGAAGCCAGAGGCGCCGCCGGCAGATCCAAGATATCCACGCGGAGCGTCGAACATGTAGTGTTTATGCCATATTTCATTATTCGATGCTCGTTCTCCCTACGGAACCCGTGCCGTGGACGGAGCCGGCGAAAGAGGTCGGCGGCGGCCATGGGTCGTGGCCTCTTCGGTCGGCGGCAGTGGGCGCGAGCGCACCGCGGTCGAGAGGCGGCCGCAGAGCCAGGGAACAGCACGGGCGCGAGGGGAGAGGTGGCCGCAGAGGCCTCCCAGGTGGGGTCCGAGCAGGTGGGGTCGGAAGATCGCGCCGCATCGCCGACGCATCGCCGACGCATCGGCGATGCATCGGCGATGCATCGGCGACGCAACGTCAACATCGGCGGTGCATCGGCGACGCCAGCGTGTAGAAACTCGGGCTGCACACCGAGCCGCATCGCTGATGCATCGACGACGCGGCGCGACCCTCCGACCCCCGCTGCTCCGACCCCATCCAGGTGGCCTCGAGGCTGCGGAGAGGGCGGGACCCTGGGACAGTCGTGGCCCCGGGCGGAGCACAGCGCAGCGAGCCCTTCCGACGCATCAAGCAGGGCCTGCATGGAAGCCTGGCGCACAGCCCATCGCCACCACACCAAAGCGCGTTTCTTCATTTTCGGCGGTAACGGGCATTATAAGACCGGGTGGGGGGCAGGGGGGGTATAATGTAACGCCTCCCCCCCGCCGTGCGCACGGCGGCAGTGCCCGGAACGCACTGGGGGGGGGAGGGCGTTACGTTATAGGGGGCGGAGAGGGGGGGCCGGGGGCTATAATGCCCATTATGCCCCAAACAATAAATAAACACGATCGCGGAATAGAAGACACCCTCGCGGGTGGTCAAACAAACCGGTGGATGTCAGCAAGCTCCCAGTGGCCTTCGCTTCTGATGCCCGGGACTCTCACTCTCGCTGTGGATCGACAACGCAGCGACCTGCCTGCCTCCATGGGAGACTGCTGACCAGACACCTTGTATTCTGAGGTCGAGAACGCCTCAAGGCGAGTCTCCTGATTGATTCGAATCAGTGACTGCACCGACGGGGGGCCCCCGCCAAAGACTAGACGGTTTGCTGCAGTTCCGCCGCTCCATCACAATTCTGGTAGGCTGCTAGGTTTCCAGGGGCACCGATTCGGGGGTTGGCGCTCTCTCGTGGCTACAACCGCCGTGCTACGATTATGAACGAGGAGGAGGAGGAGCAGCAGGAGGCGCGGAGGAGGGGGAGGAGGAGGGAGGAGGAGGAGGAGGAGGAGGAGGAGGAGGAAAGAGGAAGAGGAGGAAGAGGAGGAGGATGAAGAGGAGGAGGAGGAGGAGGAGGAGGAGGAGGAGGGAGGAGGAGGAGGAGGAGGAGGAGGAGGAGGGGAGGAGGAGGGGGGAGGAGGAGGAGGGAGGAGGAGGGAGGGAGGAGAGAAGAAGAAGTTTTGGCGCACAATCGCTGCCGACCTCGGAATGCGGCTGGGCGCCTGGATTCCAAACTCAGGGCTCCTGTGTTTGCTGGGCCCCCTGGTTGCGCGGCCAAGCTCAAAGGGCCCCGCGAGTACGGAGCATACTGTGGAGATTGGGCGGCAGGATGCACAAGAGTAGAGAGCAAAGAGTAGAGTGGAGATGCGAGACTAGCAAATTGTGTTTGAGGGGGAAGATGGGCAGAGACATCAGGATTCAACACCAGGCGTGCGGGTCACGACCTAGAACGCTGTTGCACACATAGGCGAGACTAGCAGCTAGAGGGTGGAGAGTATGGTGTGGAGGGTTGAGGGGTAGAGGGTGGACGAATGGAGATCAGAGGACAAGGGCTCAGAACAGATATAATCAAATTTGGACCAGACGGTAAAGAGCACAGAGCAGAGAGTCAAGAATGGCGAGTTGACAGCAAAGAGAAGAGAGCAGCACACTCGTCGCCCTTTGCGAACATCCGCCACCCACGCACTGTTTCTGCACGACCTGGTCTGTTCGGTATCGTTTAATCGATCCCCATCCCCATCCCCATCCCCTTCGAGACCCCCACCAAATTACCTCCCCAGTTGGGGACACACCCCTCGAAACCCGAAGGGAACGACCTATATCCCCATCTAGGGGGGTAAATCGGCCAGTGGGGCCCAGGCCACGCCGCTGGGGATGGGGATCGGTTAACCGATACTCATCTGTGGGAGGTGGGGGGAACGACCGTCTCCGAAAGCAACGTCCAACGACCGTCTCCGAAAACGATCATGCTGGCCTCCAACGCAACGTCCGACAGCAGCGCCGCGGAAAAGGTGCTGTGGGGCCGCTCGGCGATGTGCGGCGAGGCCGGTGAGGCCTCGCCATTGGGCAAGCAACGAGGCCGCGACGACAGAAAGCGGCAGTAACGATGAGAAGGGACACATCTCTTCTGGTGCGGTCTTCGTCTATCTCCACCAGAGATCCAGACGCAACGAAGAAGGCAAGTAAGGCAACTCATTACACTGCTCTCCTTGGCCGGCTACTTCTCTGAAAAGGAGCGCTAGTATGCTCTCGCCGCCAACCTTGTCGCAACCAGACCCGTGCTAAGCCTGAGAGACGCCAAGGGGATGGTCGGATGAGAAAGGGCATCTTCGGATGTCCTCCAAGGGCAAAGATGGAAGGATATGGTGGGAGAGAGAAGGGAGGAGGGAAGGTTGCGGGGGGGGGAAAGGGACGAGGAAAAAAAAGATGGAAGAGGAGAGAACCGGGAGGAGGAGGATAAGTAGGAGGAGGAGGAGGCGGAGGAGGAGGAGGACCAGTGCGACCCCAAGACTCCTCAACGATGTTGCAATGAACCCTCCCTCCAAGTTCCCTCATCACATCCCAATGAAGACTTATTACCAACCCGCCTAGGCTGGGCTCTCGTTTTGAATCGAGCACTGCGGTCGCACACCCCTGCCTCCTCCTTTCTCCCGACCCTCTTGTTTGCTGGCTTCTCGTTTTGGATACAATCGAGAAGTGTATGAAGGACGGGTGGTAAGGACGCAAGACCCTTGGAGGCCGAAGCTGGATTTTTGTTGGGCGGCGGGCGACCAGTGAAAATGGTAAAGGACCGGCCGCAGACGCAAGGACACAAGGGCACCCTAGATGAAGGCGCGCGTCCTTACTAGGCGCATTAACTGTAGAGCACTGTGGTCTCCACCTCCTCTTCCTCCCGCCTCCTTCCTGCGTCCTCTTACCTGCTCCTGCGCTGCCCCCAGGGTGGCTGCGAGCTGCGCAGCTGTCGCCGCTCTCGTGGGCTCCTGGAAGGCACGCCGCAATCGCAGAGTACCCGAGACCTCGCCGCAGCTCCCTGGGGTGGCTGCGAGCTGCGCAAAGGCCGCCGATGTCGTGGGCTCCTGGGAGGCACGGCGGAGTCGCGGAGGACCCGTGACCTCGCAGCTCCCTGGGGGGCTGCGAACTGCGCAACCATCGGCACGTTCGTGGGCTCCTGGGAGGCACGGCAGAGTTGCGGAGTAGCCGAGACCTCGCAGGTCCTTCGGGGGGGTGCGCTCTGCGCAGGTGTCGCCACCTTCGTGGGCTCCTGGGAAGCACGGCGGAAACGCGGAGTACCCGTGACCTCGCAGCTCCCTGGGGGGCTGCGAACGGCGCAACAGTCGGCACTCTCGTGGGCTCCTTGGAACACGGCGGAGTCGCGGAGTACCCGAGGCCTCGCCGCAGCTCCCTCGGGGGGGGGGGGGCTGCGAGCTGCGCAAGGGTCGCCCATTCCTGGGGGGGCACAGCGGAGTCGCGGAGTACCCGAGACCTCGCAGCTCCCTGGGGGCTGCGAACTGCGCAACAATCCCCACCTTCGTAGGGCGGTCGTTGGCTCCTGGGGAGGTCCAGCGGAGTCGGGGGCCACGCGGATCCAGCCGAGGCCTCGCGGCTCGCTGGGAGGCGACGAGGTGCGCCGCCACCTTCGTGGGCTTGTGGGAGGCACGGCGGAGATGAGGGCAGCGCATGTCGTGCATATCTCTGGCGGAGTGTTCTCGTGCATTGCGCGCTCGTGCAAGTGTTCGTCTCGCGTGGAGAAAGGGGTTGGGGCACTTCCAGGGAAGTGCCCCAGTTGAAGGCAGCCGTCTGAAAATCCAGAGCCGAACCGAAAACGGCCAGAGCTGGGGCTCCAACGCCGCGAACCGTCGTTACTGCTGCGTCTTGAGGATCCCGAATCGGGACAGGGCACCATTCCTGGGACTTCAACACCGCGGATCAACCTCACCGTTGCGCCTCTGCAGGCGCACATCGTGCCAAAACAAAATTTCTGGAACGTCGACCATGAGAATCCGTGAGCTTGCTGTGCGCGGAGCTAAGGCAAGAGACGTAGTCTGAAGAGGAGCAGCCCTCCATCTGCGAACTTTTAAGACACGTGTGCGCGGCGCTGAGGCGAGAGCCACATTTCGAGAAGGAGTCGTCCTCCTCGTGTGATCCTCTCGCGAACTTTGTTGTCTCCCGCCGCAATATCATGCTGGTGAGAGCTCACTGTGCATTCTGCGGCCCGAGAGGGGGCATACCCAAATGGACAGCACTGTGCCTGCCTTCGCTAAACGACAACATGAGGAAGCACGGTGCAAAGCATGAACCTGAGAAGGCTGAGAACTGGCCACGAGCTGATGCTGGCCTGCCCAGGTTTCCCCCGGGGCCGTAGGCGACCCGAGGAGCAGGAGGAGGTGGAGGAGGAGGAGGAGGAGGAGGAGGAGGAGGAGGAGGAGGAGGAGGGGGAGGAGGAGGAGGAGGAGGAGGAGGAGGAGGAGGAGGAGGAGGAGGAGGAGGAGGAGGAGGAGAGGAGGAGAGGTGGAGGGAGGAGGAGGAGGAGGAGGAGGAGGAGGAGGAGGGGAGGAGGGAGGAGGAGGAGGAGGAGGAGGAGGAGGGAGGAGGAGGAGGAGGAGGAGGAGGAGGAGGAGGGGAGGAGGAGGAGGAGGAGGAGGAGGAGGAGGAGGAGGAGGAGAGGTGGAGGAGGAGGAGGAGGAGGAGAGGAGGAGGATGAGGAGGAGGAGGAGGAGGAGAGGAGGAGGAGGAGGAGGAGGGAGGAGGAGGACGGGTCGCCAAAGCCCTTCGGAGAGAAACCCTCCAGCATGCTGGCCCTATGAAGCCTAGGAAGGAAAACCTGGCAGCCATCCTGGCGCGCCTCGCGAGAGCCTCGGCCGCGAGCCGTCCGTCTTGTTGAGACGAGTCGGGCACGGGAGCCGAGAGGCTGCTGCGCCCTCCGGCCAAGTGCTGATGGGCCTGTTTTCCACCACCACCACCAACATAAGCTGGAGGGGGGAAGGAGGTGGGGGACGAGGGGGAGGAGGACGAAGAGGAGGAGGAGGTGGAGGAGGAGGAGGACCCCCTCCCCCTCCAACATATAGCGGTGGTGGTGGAAAACAAGCCCATCAAGTGCAGCTGCACGGCCCTAGCGCACCGAGGTGGCAACGCCGGCGGCACAGATGACGACGCCGGCGGGGACCATCAGCCGCCACAGCAGCCGCTCCCCGCCTGCCCTCCTGGGATCGCCGGGCAGCTGGCCGCGCCCCCGGGCCCCCAGGGCCATGAGCCCCGGCGCCGCGTAGAGCAGGAAGCAGGACAGCACCGCCCCCGTCAGGGACGCCAGGACTCCCAGGTCGCGGACGACCACGGCGGTGGGCACCATGGCCAGGAGGATCAGCGCCGTGACGAGCATCGGCCTGGAGCCGTAGAGCTTCTGCGCCGGCGGCCCGATCAGGCGCAGGAGGCTGTCGCGGAAGTTCCAGAAGACGATCGGGAATGAGCTGGCGACGGAGAGCGCGAGTGCGGCACGCGCTGGTGTAGCCAGTGCGTCCACCGGAGCGTAGTTGTTCAATATCATGCCCTGCGCGCCACCTCCAAACGTGAGGAAGCCGAACCCCATGATGCAGCTGAAGTAGACCCAGGACCCCAAGAACGCAGCAAACGTGCAGATGGCCATGCGTAGAACAAGAAAAAACGGCATGAACATAAACTTTTGGCCCTCCGCGCGGATTTCTTGGACCCGCGCTGGACACCCCTCCCGGGCGCGCGGAGCGCGCCAGGGGCGGCGCCGGAGACGCCGCCAGGGGGGGGCCCAGCGCGGATCCAAAAACTCCGCGCGGAGCGCCAACAGTTTGAGGGATGCACAAACGCCCCTACCCTGGGTTACAAGTGCGCGGTCCGCAAACCTCGTGGGAGCTCCCAAAGGCCAGAGAGCCGCCAGGACGCCGCGCGACACACGCGATATGCAGGGTTTACCCTGTCAGCCCACAGAAGGTTCAGCGCACAGCGCGTCGTAAACCAGGGTAGGGGCGTTTTTTACGCCCTTGAAGCTTATGTTTGTAGCAGTCTTTCTTCTTCGAATGCGAGTCTCCTTGCGCCCCTCTGCATCTGGTCGCAGCTGCGCCCAGAACTGCGGGGCGCTGTAGTGGAGCGTGTACGCGTAGGCAAGCGTGCACACGAGGACCGCGGCCGTCGGGGTCAGCACCGTGCGCACGGCGGGCCCGGCGAAATGCTCGAAGCGAGGCTTGAACACCGCCGCGTGAACCAACGAGCCGCCCACTGCATAGGATCCGTCGAGGTAGCGGTACACGACGACGAACAGCGTGCACATCGCGGCCAACATCCCCAACGCGGAGAACCTGACCAGGGACGCCAGCGACTTCAGGTTGCAGAGTGGGAACAGCACCAGCAAGGAGACTATGGCAATCAGTTCGTTACGCCCAGCAAGAGCCTGAGGCAAATTCAATGGTGCAAGTCCGATGGAAAAACAGTCACCTATTATCATCAGAATGCTCACGCAAGCGAGGAACGTCTTGCCCAATATGGCGAAGGCGGGAAACCACTTCGTTCTTTCAGATACCGTGTTCGCCCACGCGTCCTGGTACGATTCGGTCCCCGTGCCACTACACACCCGCGCAATGAGCAAAAAACTGTAAGCGCTCAACAAACTGAAGACGAGCGACATCACGACTGCCGGGACCAGCACCTTCGGGCTGCAGCCCACCGCGGCCACGGCGGCGGGCAGCGCCAGGTTGCCCGAACCGAGCAGGCACTTGAGCATGTTCAGCGTGATCTGCACCGGCGAGCTGAGCTGCGGGCCGCCTTCCTGCTGCAGCCGCCGGTTCCTGCCCACGGCCGGCGCTGCCCCGGCCCCCGCGGGGCGCGGGCCCGGAGCCCCTGGCTGGTAGGCCGATGTTCCACCACCACCACCACCACAGGTAGGAGGAGGAGGAGGAGGAGGAGGAGGAGGAGGAGGAGGAGGAGGAGGAGGAGGAGGAGGAGGAGGACCACCTCCCCGTCCTCCCTCCTCCCCCCGTCCTGTGCCCGTGGCCCTGGTGGCGGAGGATGGGCCAACCGCTGGCCGCCCCCGCGGCGGCAGCCCCCGCGCGGGCGCCCCCTCCGGCGGCAGCCCCGCCAGCGCCGCGCCGCCGCGCCCGCCGCGCGGGCGCACGCAGAGGGCGCCCGAGGCCACCAACGCCACCGAGGCGCAGGCGCGAGGCCCCGGGCCGCCGCGCGGCGGCATCGCCGCGCGGCGCCGCCGCGGCCGCGGCGCGGCGGAGTGCCCGCTCGCCATGTCTGGCGCGCCGCTCGGCCCTCGCGCGCGGAGGATGGAGGGGGAGGAGGAGGAGGAGGAGGAGGAGGAGGAGGAGGAGGAGGAGGAGGAGGAGGAATGGGAGGAGGCGGGCCCGAGCGGCGTCTGGCGCGCCCTTCCCCCCCCCCACGCGCGCGCCGGCGAAGACGCTGGAGCCAAAAAACGGCTGCGGAGTGGGACTCGCGCGGGCGTTGAAGACGGCTGTGCGCAGCGCTGCGGCGAGAACCGCATTTTGGCAACGGCCCGCCGCCCACCCGTGAAGTTCTTGCAAACTTTGAAGGCCAGTGCGCGCAGCGCTGAAGCGAGAACAATATCTTGAAAACCACCCGCGCTCCTGCCGTGAAGCTCTTGCAGGCTCGTGAGCTTAAAGATCATATGACTGGTCAGGAAGTCTCAGGCGGAACGCCCGGTCCGCCCTACCAACACGTCTCAGGATGTGACAGGGAAGAGGTCATGTATAATAAAACGGGATGGAGGAGGAGGAGGCGGGGGAGAGGGAGGCGCAAGGGACGAGGGAAAAGGAAGGGAATGAAAGCGGGGGGAAAGGGGGGTTGACGGGGAGGGGAAGGGGAGAGTGACTAGGGAGACGGGGGCGGGAAAGGACGGGAGAAGAGGGAGGCAATGGAGTGGACGGGGAAGGATGGGATGGCAGAAGGGAAAGGAGATCGGGGGACGAAGGATAATGGAGACGGACAAGGAAGAAGGGGAGAGGAGGGGGACGAAGGGGAGGGGCCGGGTGCTTGACATGGGAACGCACGCACTCAGGCGCACATGTGCCTCGTAGAAACCGCGGGCGCTCATGAATACAAATCCAGGCGCCACGTGGAGATCGCTAAACTTGCCATCTGAACGCGTGCACCCCTCCGCCGAAAGAAGACGATATTGGACATCATCCAGGGGGCGTCTGCTGGGAGAGCGAATCCCTGTTACGCCTCCTTCGCTATGGCAAAGGGGGGGGTCGCCATCGCGAATGGCCTCAATTCCCCCCCCCCTCTCTCGCTCCGTCTCCCCCTTCCCCTTCCTCGGCGAACGACTCACCAATGCGCATCCACCATGTGGCGGATTCCGGAAACCCTGAAGCCCCGCATGTCGACGTCTTACACTCCACTCCGCCGCCTTCCGCCGAGACCCCGCAGATCTTCCGTCGGTGGAGCCGCCTCCGCCATACGTCCGCTGGCTTCCGCCGACGGGCGAAACGCACCGAAGGCGAGGCGCTGTCGGACACGCACAGTGCAGGCGGAGCGTGCGCAGCGCTGAGTCGACGTCGTGGGCATTCGAACTGACGTGGGGGCCCGCCCTGTGCGCACGGGCGGGGGCACTGACAAGCCCCGCCCGCCACGAGCCGCTCGCGGCGATGGATAAGACCACTCGGGGAAGCCTCGGGCGAGGCACCCGCAATCAGTCGATCGGTGCCCCTGACGCATCTGGTCCCCCTGCGACCGTCGGCGAGACGCTCGAAGGCACTGCGCGCTCCGATCCTGCGACGCCCTGTCGCTCATCTTCCTCCCTCCTGCTCTTCCTCGTTTGCCTCCTCCGCCTCACCTCGTTCTCGTCCTCCCCATGTCAACTTTCGGCAGTTCGATTGTGGCAGTGCATCTGCCATTTTGGCAGGACGGCTCAACTGCGCACCGCGTGCACTTCACTCGATGCCACCCTCAATAAATGTGGCC